GGGGATATGAATGGAGAGGTCTTCCGACAACGGGGGAGGTTAATTATTGGGTGTGGCCAGGGAAGGTGAGGAGAGTTGGAAAGTGGGAAATACATTTGGCGCTGCGAGGTTCTGGGGGCTCTGGCCGGGGGACCTTGACCACCGTACGATCCCCGCGGCACTGCTCTCAAGCACCTGTGAGAAGAGGCGGGTGCTAAACATGAGATTGGGACCGTGGGTGTTAAATTGATGGAGGGGAAGGGAGTTCCAGACTGAGGGGGGCAGAATAGGAAAGTGAGTGACAACCAAATAATTTGTTTGTAATAAAATTTCAGTTTTGATAATGGGGATTTGTCACAGGACTGTATCGGCAGAAATGAGGTAAGATCGATATGTGGGGCAGGTTGTGGAGAAGTTTTAAAGACCAAGCTCGCGTACCATCTCGGCAGCAGGAAGAGTCGAGAACGTTTCTGATGCGGGAGATGTTGCAACGACGTAGGTGAAAGAAAGCATTTTTACAAAGAAAGGGAAATGTGAGGAGCAATATCGTCACTAGACAGGCCCCAATGCCACCTCCATCTTGAACACCCAATTGGGGCCAAAAACTATATAAAAATTATTACTATTTTTATTTTACCAGGTAAGGCCCCCTGAGCTATATTGCTCTTTTTCAGAAACGACTTGGCCATGATAGCTCAATGAAGTGGCTTATCACATGGAAATGCAAAGCAAATAAATGCTCTAAATCGCATGTTGTTTATAAATGTGGAGGGGGAAACTGGAGGAGCCCGTAGGAAAATCCACACGACAATTGGTAGAACATGCAAACTCTACATACACAGGCATCAGGGGTCGGCATCGAACCCATGACCTCCTGTATACCAGGTGAGGGAGTTAACATCTCTCCACCGAGGTTCCCGCAAAGTGTATTGCGAAGGCCCCACTCACGATCAACGAAGCAAATGTGGGACAAAAATTACCACGAGCGAACGCGAGCTGACGTGACTTCAACGATGGACGCGATTGTGGCAAAGGTGACAACGCTTGCGATAAAAATGTTCGCAAAGACACAGATAGTGAGAATGGTGAAGTGGATAAAAAGATCGTTGAATCACGATGGATGCATTTTGAAATACTTGTGCTGAAACTGTCTGTGTGTGATTTGGCAGGCAGTTGTTTTGTTTTCCCCAAAATGCCAACCCCACCACTGACTTTCTCCCCGTATAAACAAAATAAATTAAATCTGACCCAGCAGTTTATTTACAAAACCTTCTTTTAATATCGAACTTGTCCAGTATTGGTTACGTAAGCAACATTTGCTGAGGTGCCCTGTGTGCTGCGAAACCCAGAGACAACGATTCGAAAAAAAATAAGAACCGTCGGATTATTGTGCAACATCTGACTCTGGGCAGTATTCATAAAAATAATGAGACGTGCACCCACCCCCTTCACGATAGGCACCGGGCATGTAAAAGCTCAGCTCAACATCAGTCCCCCCCCCCCGCCCCCCCAATTTGTGAGGCTGCAAGGCGCCTGTGCGGCCCAGCGAGCCACTCGGCAAATGTGGCCTGGAGCGCATGACATCCGGGCTTTCTCTGGCAGCGTGCACAGCTCTGTGTTTAGAAAACCTCTCCCCCACGCCCTCGCTGCTACGTGAATCCCAATTGTATTGGTTAGGATTTTTTTTATCCGCTTTTGATTTTTGTTTTACACACGCACGCACAAGCGAGACATCTAAAAATCGCAGATCTGTGTGCAGTATTGGCCCTGCGCAGCAGCACGGTTTCGACAATTTCCACATTTGATGTTTTGCCTGGAAAGGTCGAGTGATCACGCCACACACAAAATGCCTGTTGCAAATCGTTACAGAAATATCCGTCGCTTGTATGCATAGATTTTCGTGTCTGTGATTCAGCGTGTACGCTGTATTTATCGACTATACCGGTGATGCGAATGTGGTTGGATTAGTAAGGGAGAAAAAGTACCCATTTATTACAACACCCAATGCTAAATCGCGCACCCCGGGACAATACATTAAAAAGAGCAATGCCAATCAGCACACCCTCTGGCACCCACAGCACAGCGCACCTCGCTCTTCGCACAATTCACGGCACAGCGTATTGCAAACAGGATGGCACAACGCACAACAAAGCGCTTGAGCGTAGCGGAGCACACAATAGCTCAATAATGCCCAACAGGGGATAGTGCTGCAATCTCATCGCGGCACGGTACAATGGGTTAGCGCAACCACCCCATGGCACAACTGTACCAGGGCGGCTTGCCAAGTACAGATTGGTACCATAAAGAGGATGTGCATCGGCCCTGGCAACGGGTCACGATGATGCTGCTTGCGCCATTCTGGCAAGCGCTTGCCCTCACGCCCACACACATCAGCACTGTACAGATGTGAACGTACGCGCGCACGTACGCAGGCACACGCGCACGTACGCAGGCACACGCGCGGCTTTAGATTCCCACATGTTAACAAAAGGGCTTTTGTTTAAAGGGAGAGCATGCAATCTCGGAGGAGAAACTGTATTTATCGGGGTGGAAAAACAATCTCATGTTTATTTTTTCCTGTGCATTTTCTTTACCTTGGTGTGTGTTGTACAGAGAAATAGCTGGCAAAAAAAAGCATTTGATGTTTGAGATCAAGGGTGATTGATTAATATATCAATCAATGCAGGAAGCACTCAAACCCACTAACGAGTTGGTGCACAAACCCACCGGGGCGCGATCGGCCAATGGCTCTGTGGTCACGTCGAGGCTAACGATTGGGTGGCTTGCCCCCACCACTGATTAATGGGCGGCTATGCAATTCAAAGGCATGGTGAATCATTGTGATTTGCAATGTCAGATTTGGTAAATAACACAGAGGTTGATAGGAGACAAATTCAGGCAATGTCTCGAATGGGCACAGAATGAGAATTAATAAATTTTGGTGAGGGCTCAACTGAAGCCAATTCTAATTAAGAGTCGGTGGTGGGTGTGGGCGGTTTCATAAGTTACATTTAACAACAACGCAGCACTTCTATCGATTTAACAAGCAATTATGACAGGTTATCTTTAGCTGTATAACTTTTGGCCAGGTTTTTTTTTTGCCGTGCTTAGACATTTTGTAATGTACTTTGCACCCCAGACCCCCTCGGAGAGTGTGTCTTCATCTGGTCTTTAGAGTTCGTGATGATAATGATAATAACCAGTACAGATATTAAGCAAAGCACGCCAGTGTTTGAACAGCAGGTTATTGCAAATACAGGAAATCAAATGCTATCTTCAATATCATTGGAGTGAGGAATCCAGTGGAGATTATCAAGGTCAAAGCCAGTGATGCCACAAAATAAACTATTTACTAAACTAAATTATTTTTTTACTTTACCACTTCCCTATATAGTTATTTAGTTATTTTTCAGAAGCGACCTGCCCATAAATCATAGCTCAACGAAGTGCCTTATCAAGTGGAAATTTATAGCAGCCAAATACTCTAAACGCGTGTTTCTAAATGTGGAGGGAAAACCCGGAGGACCCGGAGAAAAATCCACGTGATTCCGGTGGAGAACATGTAAACTCCAAATATACATGTGTCTGGGTCGGAATCGAACCCATGCCCTCTCCTGTATACCCGGCAAAGTAGTTAACATATCGCTAGCGTGCCACAAAATATCACCGTTTATTTCATCCTTCTGCTAGATCCTACAGCTGCTACAAAGTTGACGTCTGCCTTCCAAGGCCTGCTTTTACCTTCATCCCACCATCTGGTTTCAGCGCTCTTTCGGTTTGGTCACAGACCTTTGGGTACCACTCCCAATATCCTGTCTCAGCAACCTGCCCTCGAAGCATCCTGCGCGTGTCCCACCTATTTCAACCTTTTCGTCTTGATATATTCTAGTGCTTTCCTGTCATTCTATTCCAAATATCCAATTTGCCTAACTGCTCTTGCCATCACATTCCTAAGCTCTGCCTATAGTCAAGGACTAGAATATTTTCTTCTCGACAGTTTGTTAATGAGCTCATCAAAAACTGCTTTGTAAGACATGTGATGCAATGGAATGTACCAGCTGTTAACAACATACTTTTATGATGTCACAGTCAAGTTACTCTAGGTCAAGCCACAGCCAGACTTGCCCTCTTCACTGGATAAATTGGCAGGACAAGTGAGTGCGCAATAAAACGTTATCGAGACCTACAAACAGCCCGTTATCACTCAACAAGTGAAACGTCACCCTGCCCTCTGGCAGTGATGCTCAAACAACACCGCTGATTTCTTTATCTGCTATTCCAACTGGTAAATAATTTCACAGAATTAACTTGCAACATTTAAGGTGCAAACACCATCACTGAGGGGTTCAAGGGCGGAAAACAAAATGTTGAGCTGGACTAAAGTGCCACCCAGGTGACGAGTCAACACTTGTAAATACGTCAATATCCAGCGTTGCAGTGTGACTGTCTGGCAAGATGGGTCAGTGAGGCAAGGGATGTCTTACGAGGGAAAACCTGAACCCCCAACGGCCATTCAGCTGAGACATCATTAGGCAAGCAACAAAGGGGCAATGATGGGTACCCGCACGTATGTATTTATGTTGAACTGATTTCGCACTGTTCATAGCCAACCGTGCTAATTGAAGGTGCGGGGGGGGGGTGTGAGGGAAAGTTGTATGGAAGGGTCGAATTTGAAAGCCACTCATTATGAAGGTTCCTTGCTAGGGCTGGGCAAATGATGTTAACCAGAGGGCAGATGGAAAGTGTGAGACGGTGTGTGACAAGGTGAATCACCGTGCTGCCCGATGACGAAGTCTCCACCTCCAAGATGCTCATTAGTGGAATGTGATAGAGAAGTCCCTGAGTGAAATGCGATGACGAGGTGTGGTGGGGGTGTGGTGGAGGTGTGGTGGAGGTGTGGTGGAGGTGAGGTGGGGGTGTGGTGGAGGTGTGGTGGAGGTGTGGTGGAGGTGCGGCGGAGATGGCCGGTCGCTTGCGGCGGTGGCGGCGGCGTTGGCGAGGCAGCCTGAGCGCACCCTCACCTGGAAGGCCATGGAGTTGGCGACGGCGAGCAGAGCCCGCAGCGGCAAGGAGGCCTTGTAGGAGCGGTGGCTCCAGAGGCGGTGCGCGCCCGCAGTGATGCCCAGTGCGCTCACCGTGAAGCAGAACCACGCTGCGCACCGCACGCCACACAGCAACGCGGGTTAGGCGGGGCAGCATGGGCACAGCGGATGGCGCTCCGAATGAAAACAGCGCGTGACGCGAAACGCCGTTACATCAGAGGTGGGGGGAACCTTTTCTCTTACCAAGGGCCAAATAGGACATTTGAATACCTACAGCCGGCCATACAATCACACACGCACACCTTTCCATTACTCAATAACGAAAAAAAAGGTAGGGTTCTCAACAGGTGGCCAGGGGCTGCTGGATTTAGAAAGAGTTATGAGGTCGAAAATATTCCCCTCTAGAACCCGGCTCGTGTGGCCAAGATGCTTGCTTACGGTGATGGATTCATAATATCATTTGCCGGCCATTTCTAAGCGCAAGGCCTCATGTGGCCATGGCGAAATGAAGTCAGATTCCACACCCCTGCATGAAGCATACAGAACATATCACACACAACAGTGTTATAGAGGGGTGGCCCTTTGGGCTCCCACTGGAAAAGTGCTCACTGTACATATAATGGCACAGAACACCAAATACAGCCAGTGACGACACAGCAGTGGGACTAAAGCACCCATGAGGTTAGGGGCAGAGGGAGTGGGTGGCTGCTTGAAGCACCGCTCTCTGCATGTCAAGTATTCTCCATGCCTGCCGAAAAAACTGGAGAGTTTTACCACATTAGTTATGCCATTCCCAATCTGGCCAAAAGAAGTCGAGGTGACCAATTGCAAACAGTTTGAAGAAATACAAACACGAGTATACGTGAATCTGCTTAAACACGAGGGGCTGCCAATCTTTTTTCTGGCAAATAAATGTGCAACACGATCAGGAAGGCAATCAAATAAAATTAGGCTATCTTGGTGTTCATTGTCTGCCTGTAACCAAGTGGAAATCAACTCGTATCTAAAATTATTCGTTCTGCAATAAATAATACAAGAACAACAGCGCAGGTTGAGGCATGGCCTAGAATACTAAATGCGGGTCATTACAGGGCATGGGGTTTGTCTTCGTAGCTTGCAAGAGCAGCTGGTCAAAACTACTGCACGGTCGGTTACAACAGGACCGTGGCTATATGAAGTTCACCAAGGACATGTATGAATTGCATGAGGTACAGTGTTACACAAGCTGCATTTGTTTGTTTGTTACATAAGCCAGTAAGTTTTGGCACGCAGCCACCGCAATTCTTTCTGGCGTGAATACTGTAAAAGAGATGTGTGAAATATTTCTTTTAAAAAACCCACGTGTGATAACATGTATTGAGTTGTGGGAAATGTTTTAACATTCTCCCAAAATAATTCTGCGTTGCATTCTGCGATGACGGAGCCGAGGCGTATTTGTTTAACGACTACGACACAGCTTAATTGTTGGGCCGAGGGCCACCCTAAGCCATCCAAAAAAGACCATTTCACAAAAGAAAAAAAAGCCACAGCCATGCCATGCACGGCACGCCAAACGCCAGTGGCAGTCTGCGCGCGGGCGTTTATAACAGCACCCAACGCGGTGGCGATGCTGATTGTTGCTTGTTGCTTGCTTGCTGCTGCTATTGCTGCCTTCCAGTTTTTACCGCACGGGGTGTCAATAGGCGCGCCGGTGTCGGTTCTCGAACAATCTCTCCCGCCCAGCCCATCACGCAATGCCGGAGGGCCCGAATCCACCACTGTGCAAATAATATAGTCAGCGTCGGTTGGTGGTGGTGGTACATCATCCATCACATGATGCTCCGAGAGGCTTTCTTAAAAGTTACATTATTTATTATAATGTATATAATTACAGTTATCAAATATTGTGAAATTTACCGCCATCATGTATTGATTTCTGGAAGCGCTATAGCGCTTGAATAATCTGCAGCAACCTTTTTCTGCCTTTCATGGGTTCAGCTGGTAATACATGATTACATTTATGGAACATTAATAAACAAATAAGATGCCTTCTAAGCCACAACATTGAGTGAACTTCATATTCATTCCGAGGTTATTTTTTATTAATGCCTATTAAGCCATGCCCAGTCCGAGGTTAAATTTAAATATTTCTAAGCTCTTTTCGGAGATGTTCTTTCTATTTTTTTCAATTGTCCTATAATCCATGACAAGTCGACCTCAAAATATTTTAAGTAATATTTAATCTTTCTCCCTATAATTTATTTAAATGCACTTTATGCCATTAAAAGTCCACCCCAAACCTCACTTTTAAAATGAATTCCCAAGCACTCTCCCTCTCACGTTATCCCCACTACTAACAGCTAGAAGAACCAGAATTCGTGGCGAGCTGTTAACTACCTAGCCAGGTATACAAGAGGTCGTGGGTTCGATCCCGATCCTGACGCCTGCATATTTGTAGTTTGCATATTCTCCCCGTGGATTTTTCCACGCGATGAGAATAGAGTTGCTAGAAATATCCACACAAATCAGCCACATTCATTGAGCTACCATTTGTGGCCAGGTCGCTTCTGAAAAAACAACAACAACAACCATACCTAGCTCAGTGGCAAAAATACAAAAAATGTGTTGAACGTGGTCACAACTTACTCCAGGCCCAGGTGATTGGGTGAGCTACGGGCAGCAGCAGCAGTCCGTAGAGAGCTCCCAGGTGCAGGAGGCTCATGAGAATCACGTTCCTCCACACGACTCGGCGTGGAGCCGATTCAGAGGAGACGCTGCTGCTGCTGTTCAGGTCATCGTCCTCCGTCGCCTTGGAGACGGAGGAATCGGCGCCGTTGCTGGTGATGGAGGGAGGAGGACCGCCGTTGCTGCTGCTGGTCTCGCTGGCAGATGTCTTCTTGTTGACCTCCTGGTCTGGAATCTCCAGGATGTCCACATACTCCGGTCCGCTCTTGTCCACCGCCTGTTGGCATTCGAGAGCCGTCTCCGAGGGTGATTTGCGCTCCCTGAGACCCATTGTGCTGCTTATTCTTCTTGTCTCTTTTGACTTGGTCGACTGCAGCTGATTTCTCTGCCCCGCTCTCGACTCAGAAGCACTGGACCAGCAGTGGGTGGGGTGGTGGGGGGAAGACGGGGATTGTGGTGGTCGTGGCTGGTTGTGGGAAGGCAGCAGCGTTTGATGACGATGATATTTATTCTGGCTAGAATTGTTGCGCAGCTAATGGTGGCCGCAACCCGTTTTGAAACTAGGCTTAAGGTACTGTACTGTTAATACAGTATTTATAAATTATTATTCTAGTTTGCTTTGCTGTTCGTTGCTTTAGTAAGATTTTTAACGATTTTTTAAAATGTTAATCCTCTATGTTTACAATAAAATAAACAATTTACTCAACGATTTTTTTCCCTCTTGCAGTTTAAAATTTCCTCCTCTACCGTGCTCTTATTTGAAGCCAAATTTATTTCTAGTTGCCCCGTTACTCGACGGTGGAGTGGGCGATGAGAGTGAAAGAAGAAGAATAAGAGCGAGGAAGAGGTGGAAAGTGTGTGTGGGGGGGAGGGGGCAAGAGTGAAAGATGTGAGCGAGAGAGAAGTTTAAAAAAAATAAAGAGGGGAAGAGAAGGAAGAGAGTTGAACGGAGGTGGTAAGCCGTCCGCTTTTGCTGCTGCTGCTTCTCGCCAGGTGGGGGCCAGGGGGCCTCCGCCTTATATAGGCGGAGGGAGGAGCTCGCGCAAGGCCGCCGCGCGCGCCCATTGGCCAGCGGCCGCGAGCCGGGCGAGCGCCCCCATTGGCCGAGGCGGCGTCGCGTGAGCGTCTCGCGCTCGTCTTCCCTTTTCTTCGCCTCCTGCGCGCGCGGAGCCGACGCCGCTGCTGTTGTTGCTGCTGCTGCTGAAATCGCCGCTCGGCGAATCGAATAATTTAATAAACGAGCGAGCGATGTTCGCAGGCCCCCAAATTTTTTTCGTTACAATAATAATAATAAAACAAATGTGTTGCAAAGAGATAAAAGAAGAAGAAAAAATATCCCGCAAAGGAGGAAAAAAAATAAGAATTAATTCTAAATGAGAATTAATTCTCCTGAGTGACGCATCTCTCTCTCTGTGTCTCTCTCGTCAGAGCTCCCCCCTCCCCGCACACTCGCACAGCTCGCTGCGGCGAGGCGCTTCGCTCTGTCCGCCCCATTGTTGTTGGACTTCTCTCGCACCGATCACGGCGGGCCACCGGCCGTGGTGGTCGCCAGGGGCTGAGATAAAATACGAGGCAAGGCGGCGTTGTCCCGCCAATATAAAATCGATAATCATAATTTCCTCCCCCTCTCCTCCATCCCCCTCTTGTTTTTTTGACTCGCGACTTTAGATGTTGTCGCCTATTTGCTGGGTCTCACCTGCTTCTGAACAACGTTAAAGCCTCGCTCAATGCGTGCGATGACGGCAAAGGTCATTTGTGCCACTCCACTGCTGGACGAGGGGGCCCATCACACCTGCGCGGGGTCACGAGGGGGTCAATTGTCCCACACTTCCACCGCGCTGCTCAGTGCGGGTTCGTGCAGGCGCGGGGGGCATAGAAGTACAGTGCAACAGAGGATATATCTGGACTGCCGTCCACCGCGTAGCCAGTTCGTGGGTGGTTGAACACCCACCCATCCAAACATTGTGCATGCTCAACCCGCTTAGCTTTCGAGATCTGTGGAATGGAGGGGTGGGGGGTCTTTGGCATTGGTGAGACAACCATAAGCCGTCTTGCGACGGTTATACGATGATTAATGTGTTTAATAATGCTTCAACATGTAACAACAGCAACAACAAAAATGCACACTAGATATGTATTGCGACATTCACCTTGTACTACCAAAATTATATTACACGCTAATCAATCAAATTAGTGGGGGGGGGGGGGGGGAGTTGTTTGTAGTTCTAAATCTGAGCCAGAGATAAAATAAATAAAATTCCCAAAGTACAGTACCGTACACTTTTTTTTACCATTTCTGCAAAGATGCTTGTAATTCTCACACATTCGGTGTGGGAAGTCGGACCCTGAAACCTTAACCTCATGCCAAGCAGTTTCAAAACTGCCTCTGTGAGGAAATTCATCCCCAAGTCTTTAATCTTTTTAGGCTTTTTAATAAAACAAGAGGCCAACACAAAATGGAGTTCAAGCCACGATGTTAGTTTCACGGGGAATAATGCCGCACCATGTCTCGGTGAAATGCATAAATTAAATGCGTGGGTGACTTCGTCGCTTAACAATTAAACATCGGTAAATGAATTTCTCATTACTTAACCGTTCGTCACTCAAACACAATTTAACACATTTCACTGTGATTTGTTTACCCTATGTGTAACTGTATAGGGACTCACCAGAAATTGTATATTTTTGGAGTGCATCAAGACCGTGGGTTGCATGGGGGCCAAGGACGACACGTGGCCAAAGATAGCCCAAAAGGCACCAGCATCAAGGTTATCTCAGTTCACTGGTGCTACCTCGTGAGCTGTTCTCCCATGGTGGTAAATATTATTATTGTGGGAGGGTGGGCAAAAGTCAATGAATAAGTCACCTGAAATGCTTCCTATCCAATTCTCCTTTCGTATGGCTGCTGATGTAGATGGAGAGCAATGACTACAATTTCACAATCAGGTGGTGAAGCCCAGGCAATGACTGCGTCAGGAGCAGCGGAGTGTAATCGCTGCGACGATGTCTCCTTCGTATTTGTGGATCGGGCATCGCGTCGTTACAGGTTGTACGGGCTGTTCTGGATGACCACAGTGGCACACTGGAGAGTTTTAAATGTTCCATTTGTGCATCTTCAGGTATCCGTATCTGCCATGGATTCTGCGGTGGTTGCGGTTTAGGGTGGACCGTGCGCTTCGTGGAAGATCAAACCCAGGATCTTCTGCGTTGCGTCTTTCACAACAACGAGGTGTTTGTGAGTGCTTTTGAACTCCATTCAGCTCTCCAAGCTTCATCGGGGTTGAACTCACACCAGATATTGTAAGCTAAGCAGGTTTACGCCTGGACAACGCTCTGGTGTGGTGACAGAACAGATTGCCATCCGACTTGTGGCGGTGTCACCGGATTGCAGTGGAGCAGAATCAATTCCTGTAGGGTATTGTACTCTGGTGTCGTGCTCCCCGCCTTCACCAACTCTCAGTGAACAGCGGCACCACTGGCAGTAGGGTCAAGTAACCCCCATCACGACTCCAACGGCGTGACAGCAGCAGCTGACTGACAAAAATGGCTAGAACGTGTACACGGGACGACTAAAACAAGACACCACTAAATAAAAGCGAACACTCCACCATTCCCCATCCACATCGTGAGACAAAGGTCCCCCGTGTAGCCTTCACAGACTGTAGGGGCAAGTGCTGTTAGCGAGGTCCTATGAAGGCCGGAACGGAACACGAGGGGGTGGGTGGCCAGCCCCACGCCCGGCCGCCTTTGTCTCCCCAGTGGCGATGTTTACACATCGCACATAGGCACTCATTTAAGGCTGAGTCGACCGGGGGGAGGCCCAGAACCGGTTCAGATAATCGTCACCGGTGTTTGGCCGTGAGCGGGAATCGAACTCGGGTCGCCGTTACACCACCGCTCCCCACCATTGTTAAACACACACACACAATCACACGGACCGGTGTGTGTGGGTCAAACGTTGACCTCCGAAATGCGACACCGGGAAAATGTGTTCACTTTTCGCGAACATTGCTCATATCACGCCGCAAATCGCACGTAGATGGTGGCCTTGCCTGCCTCGCTCGCACCAGCCCCCCCCGTCTCCCTCCCTTCTCCCCACGCCGTGCCGTCTCTCCCTTCCCCTCCCTCTTCCCCTCCCTTCTCCCCGACGCAGCTCGAGTTGAATGGCCGCACGTAACCCCGCGGCGCCCGCCACCGCCCCTCGATTGTGGGTCACACCGCGCCGCTCGGCGGAGTTCCGCCCGCCGAACTCACCCCACCGGAGAGGGCGGAGACACGGGGATGATGCGCGGCTTCTCAGCACACGCGGACGCACACACAGATACACACACGCAGACACACAGACACGCACAGATACACGCACACAGACAGATACACGGACACACACCCGCAGACACAGACACACACACACGCAGACACACACACACAGACACACACACAGACAGATACACACACACACACAGACACACACGCGGACATACACACGCAGACACACACACAGACACAGATACACAGACAAGCACAGATACACACACACGCACACACAGACACAGACAGATACACAGACACGCACACACACACGCAGACACACACAGACACATACACACACAGACGGACACACAGACACAGACACACACAGACGGACACACAGACACGCATACACACAGACAGACACAGATAAACACACAAACACACACACGCAGACGGACACACACACAGACTTCACAGACGCACGCATGAAGACACACACATACACGCATACACACAGATAAACACACAAATACACACACAGACACACGCAGACACACACACATACAGACACACAGACACGCACACACAGATACGCACACACACCGATACACACACAGCCACGCACACACACACAGATACACACAAATACGCACACACACAGATACACACACACAGACACGCACAACAACAACAACCGCCATTCGCCACTAAGTGGCGGTGACGTCACCACGATGCTTGTGCCAGGCCAAGTGCACCTTGAGGCCACGTGAAGTGTCGAACGCCCGCTGGCAGGAGGTCACGGGGCAGACCCAAGTGCCACGGGTCGACTGACCGAGATGACCGAGATGACTGGCTGATGCACCACCTGTGCCCCCTACTGTGCCAACTTGCTGTGCTTTAGCCACCCGGCGCTCCGCTCGTTGTTGTGAGCGTCGCTCCTCCGCCCTCCGTTGTTGTTGGAGGGCGACTGCCTCCAACTGCCCAGTAGCGTCCTTCACGAGCCTCCTCCACTGAGGCCGATCTTGACACCGCTGGTACCAGTCATCGGCAAGTCCACTAAGCTCCACGTCCTCCTGTACCACATCACTCCATCTCTTCTCTAGCCCGTGCCGCGCCCGTTTAGCCCTCTCAATCCGGCCGAACATGAGCTGTTTAGGCATGCGGTGGCTGGGAATGCGGGCTACATGACCCAGCCAACGCAGCCTTGCCTGCCGGAAGAGCTCACCGATGGGACTTTGCCCAGATCTTTCAAGGATTTGTGAGCTCGTCACACAATCCAGCCTGGTCAAACCCAGGATGGATCGTAGGCAGGCCAGCCTAAATGTTTCCAACCGGCGAAGATGCTCCTTAGGGGGGTCCACGTTTCGCAAGCGTAGAGAAGGGAGGGAATGACCGTGGCCGAGAAGACCCGAAGCTTCGTGCGGAGCGACAGACCAGGTAGCTTCCACACAGCGTTACGCAACCGATGAAAATATATTACCGCTCGACTGATTCGGAGTGAGACCTCTGCTGATAAACTGGAGCCGGTCATAAGCACACTGCCCAGGTATGGGAAACTCTCCACTCTCTCCACAACTGCCCCATCACCGATTGGGAGTTGTGGGGGTGGAGTGTCCGATGGTACAAAATACCCAGGCAGGTGCTTAGTTTTGGTGGGGCTGATGGTAAGGCCCCACCTCTTAGTGGCACGCTCCAGTCTCAGCAGCAGCGTTTCCAACTCCTCTTCTGAATGAGCAGC